GCATTCGGGAAATCGCAGAAGGCACACACCGTCGATCAGTGCCTCCAGTCAGCTGCCTGCGAGCCTCGGCGGTCTTCGCAATGCGACGGCATCGACGACACATGAGTCCCCCCCCCCGAATTTCGATGAGGTCGTGCTCATGTATCAACAGCACCACTCCAGCTCCGTTAGCATTGGGAGTCCTGCTCGGGGCGGGCGTCAGAACTGCCTTCTCAGACCACAGCTCGAGCTGACAGCTTCTCTGGGCCGCCCAAAACAAATACTTGGCGTACTGGGCAGCCTCTGACAGCGAGTCCTTATAGAACCTAGCGTGGGCCTCTGGGAGCTTGACCGAGAGGGCTCCCAGCTTAGCGAAAAAATCGGCCCAGCTATTCCCCACGACCCAGATGTAGGGAGGAGGCGGAGGGTCCTCAGGAGCGGGGAAGAGAACCTCATCCTCAGTCCTGTGGGACGGGACCCATGCAAAGGCAGGCGGCGTTCTTTTCAGCGCCACCAGCTGGCGCCACACTGCAGGGTATGCACGGCTGGCATCAGTGAGGACATCCTTCTTCTTGGCCCCACAGCTTGCCTTCCTGCACAAATTCCAGCAAGTCAGAAACCACACATTGGACCGAGGGCATGTGCTGAAGGGTCTTGAGGCCCGCGACACGCTCAGCACGGCCTACTGTCTGTTGCGCGCCTGCGAGCCCGCCATACAGCGCACGAGTGGGGACTCCATTGGCATTCAACATGTCCGCAGACCACCCACACCGACGGAGCTCAGGATACTCGTTGTGGTATCCCGAGCCATCGGTAAGAACACAATCACTCCACTGTTCGGAATCCGACTCCCAATCTCCCCAAACGAAGCAAGGAGGCGACTCAGGAGGCGGCGGCACTTCAACCTTGGGCCACCTAGGGATCCCGACCGAGAGGGCAAACGAATCAACATCCTGGCGGCCCTCTCCGATCGGCCCATGCTCCAACATGGCGTCGCGAGCTGAGGCCAACTTGGGATCGAGACCACAATCCTCCTCGTCATCCAACAAACGCCGTGTCAGCGCTGGGCACTCGACGAAACAATGGCCAAGCGTCTCAGCCTCATGCGGGCACGCTCGACACTTCTGATCATCACACATTCCTTTGCTATACAACTTAGCTTTTGGCCAGAGGGAGCCAGACCACAGGGTGCGCAGAGCTCCGACCCTCCCCGCCCCAGTAACCGTCGCCCCCCTCCCGCCCACACAAGCCCGCAGGCCTCGCGGCCATAGAGGCGTGGCCGCATCATGGTGAGAGGCAAGCTGGCGCATCTGCCAACGCTGAATCCCCTGCCGCAGGAGATCGCGAAAAAAACGAGGCGACGAGCCGGATGAGGATGAGGAGGACGAGGAGAAGGAGGCGGAGATGGAGGAGGAGGGGACGCAGGAGGAGGAGGAGGAGGAGGAGGAGGAGGAGGAGGAGGGAGGAGGAGTTGGAGGAAGCAAGAGGACGAGGAGGAGGCCAAGCATGGGGCGGGAGGAAGGCCCTCGCCAGAGCGAGGAGGAAAAGGCGAGGGGGAGACAGGAAGAGGGCTTCCACGATCACGAGAACGACGGGTGACTTCAAAACTTCTCGGGGAGATGCCCGGGCGGGGTCGCAACGTCGGATTAGTTTTTGCCAGACACCCCGCGCAGACCTCACCCGAACCCCGTCCGCTCCACCTTACCGCCACACTTTAATCTTCAACCTCACATCGTCATTGCCGTCACCATGGCACTCGCGCTCATCACCATCGAGTACCCAACATCGTACCATCTTCGCCATATTCATCCTCATCATCATCGTCATCCTTGCACACACTTGCACATTAACTCAGACACACTCACACCATCACCGCTACCAGTGTCACCGTGTCACCCGTGTTCACGCATTCATTCATATCCTCATTCGTATCCGCACATTCACACAGCCGTCGTGGTGGATGAGCGGATGGAAACCTTGTCTTTGAGTGAATCGCGAGGAACTCCCAGGCGGGACCCTACTCCCTATAGGGCCCCTAGATGATGTTGATAATCCGAGCGGGCCAATCCAAATCTCGTATCTGTTTTTAGTTTTGGTTTCCTGAGGCATGGACCAGGAGGAAGTCGCGAGCGGGAACCTTGTGTGTGAGTAAATTGTCAGGGCGTCTCAGGCGGTACCCTCCTCCATATGGGGCTGACAGATCATGTTAGTAGTCCGAGTTGGTCTCCCAAGCGGTGTAAAAGTCGTCAGGTTTGGGCTCTTGGGGCGTGGACTTAGAGGAAATCCCGAGCGGGAACCTCGTGTAGAAGTGTTAGGCGGAATCGGGCTGGCAGATCACGTTAGTAATACGAGCGGGTCATCAAAATGTTGTATGTGTCGTCACGCTTGGGCTCCTAAGGCGTGGATCTGAAGGAATTAGCGAGCGGGAACCTCGTTTGTGAGTGAATCGTGAGGAAGTCTTAGGCGGGGGTGGCCTCGTTATGGGGCTGCCCTGCCAGATAATGTCAGTAATCCGTGCTGATCTTCCACGTGTTGTGGCAGTCGTCAGTTTTGTTCTGAAGCGCGAGTCTGGAGCAACGCTCGAGCGGGAGCCTCGTCTGTGAGTGAATCGAATGAGTAAATCTGAGGCTCGAGCCCCATCATTATCTGGCCGCGCGGTCACATTAGCACTCCGAGCGGGCCGCTCAGATTTTATACGTTTGTCAAATTTGGCTTATTGAGGCGTGGATCTGGAGGCCAGTTCGAGAGGAAGCCTCGTCTATAAGTGGAATGTCAGGAAGTCTCGGGCGGGACCCCCCATTACGGTGCCGGCAGATCACGTTAGAAATCCGAGCGGGCCAATCCAAATCTTGTAAGTGTCTTAGCTTTGGGTCTCCTAAGGCGTGGACCTGGAGGCGCAGCTCAAGCGGGAGCCGCGTCCGTGAGTGAGTGGTGAGGAAATCTCAGGCGGGACCCCGTTCCCCTATGGGATCCGCAAATCGAATGCTGCACGAGGGGTGTGTGTGTGTGTGTGTGTGTGTGTGTGTGTGACAGGCGAGCTCTTTCGCTTACGCTGTCTACCGCAGGGGATCTGGATGCAGGTGCACGGATCCAGCGCCCCCCCGATCAACCAGGAGGTCGCCGAGCTGCTGCTACAGGGTGCCGAAGGTATTGGCGATGACGGCCGGGCCGAGGCGCGGGCGTAGAGTTTGCTCACTCTCGGGCCCAGCGAGCAGGAACTCACGTGGCAGAGCTCGGGGCCGCAGGCCGTGCGCCGCTCGGAGTTTACCTTGACGCACGCGTCCGACCTCACCTCCACGCTGTCGCAGGGTCAGACGCTGCGCACAGGCGCCACCATTGATTTTGCCAGGGATGCGGAAGCAGGCCGCGCGGGCATGTCAGACGAACAGCGGTGGCTGCACCTTTGCGCCATGTTCTCCCGCGCCAAACGCATGCGAAACGTGTTGGTCCTGCGGCTGCTTTCGCGCGAGTCCCTGGGGCGCGGACCGCTGTCGTCCCTTCGGAAGGCGATCGGGGAGTCCGACGAGCGAGCGGCGAGCTCCAAGCTTTGAGGCCGAGCACCTCGCCTCAGATCTTGGATGCCCGCCGCCCCCCGTCCGCCTGATCGCGGCCGCGCCCCGCTCGAAGGCTGCGAAGGGTTGTCCCAACGGCTTGGTTTTGCGCGCCGCCGGCGCGCGGGTTTGCCCCGGCGGCGCGCCCCGCGAGGTTGCCCCGGTAGCGCTTCGATCTGGTCATCCGAGAACGCGCCCCTGCCCAGAGCAGCGGCGACGCCGTCAAAGAGAGTCGAGGTGCGCCCCATTGCAATAAGAGTGTGGCGGGTGGTTGACGGGGGAGAGGCAGGAGGGCGAGGAGGAGGAGGAGGCGAACCAGGGGACGGGAGGAGGGCCTGCTCCGGGGGAAGAACCTCCGCGATCACAGGAACAATGATGAGACTTCCTGCCAGGCGAACCGAGAAGATTATCATGTTGGGTCCTACCGTCGGATCGTTTTGTCCTCGTCTTCCTGTTCCTCCTCTTCCTGCTCCTCCTTCTCTCCGTCATCCACAGAAGCAGACCGAACGCGCGCAGACTCCTCGCCAGCTCGTGATCGCACGAAGGGGGTTCACGATGCCACGCGCCCACCGCCACCCTCTCCATCGTACCGTCCCCTCCCCACCTCCCCTCAGGATGCAACGCGAAGGAGGAGGAGGAGGAGGAGCAGGAGGAGGTGGAGGAGGAGGGAGTTGGGGCTTCGAAGGATTGCAACAAAAACCAAGGATTGCAACAAAAACCGAAGGATTGCAACAAAAACCGAAGGATTGCAACAAAAACCGAAGGATTGCAACCAAAACCGAAGGATTGCAACAAAAACCGAAGGATTGCAACAAAAACCAAGGATTGCAACAAAAACCAAAAACCGAAGGATTGCAACAAAAACCCCCCGTGTTGAACAGTTTAACACATCGCACGTCTGGGAGTTCATCCGTGGCCGAAAACGGCTTCCACGTGGCGGGATCCCGCCAGATCCGGTCTCCTTCCGATGAGTTGGGCTACGTCCGCCGCTTTCTCCGGTCTAGTCTGGCTTGCTGGTGGCCCCGCCACTCGGGTTTTCACTGGCGGCTGATTTTTGACATGGCTCCCCCATCGTCCCGATGCGATCCCCCTCCCGCTCCTTCCCTCGGGCCCGCCTAGGGGGGGGGAGGACTCAGGAGATGGGGAGCCCCTTCGATTCAAGGTCGACGTCTATCCGCTTCCATGTGGCTGACGCGGCCGAGGGAGAGGGGGGCCTCGAGCTGGCGCGCTCGACTCTGGAGGGCTTACAGTCGGGGCGCTGACGAAGGAACCCTTTTCGTTGGGAAGGGGCTCGGTGTCCCTTGATTGTCTCACAGCCTGCCCAAAGTTTTCCTTCGGCTTTCGATGGGAAGCCGAACCTTCACTCGTGGATAAAAGGGGCCTCGCCCCTGCTTTCGGGCTCCTTGGGTCAACGCCCTGGCTGTAGGATAGGCCTCCTCTCCTCCCCTCTGCCCGCTCTGGCACCCCGAGGACCCGTTCGGGGGCGCCGGGCAGCACCCCAGGCAGCCCCGGGAGGGGCTGTCCGAGGCCCACATGGCCGCGAGGTGCGCGCTCCAGGGCGTCCCGCGCGGGGGCCGCAGCGGAGCCCCGCACGTGCGCTACGACGACGCTGGTGCCGTTGCCGCCGGCGTCGCCGTCGTCGTCGTCGTCGTCGTCGTCGTCGTCGTCGTCGTCGTGGACGGTCGGTCGGTGAGAAGGTCGTCCGCCTTCCCCCGCTGTCCGTCGTCCGTGGTCCGCATATCGTCGTCCGTTGTCGACAACGGCGGCGTCGGCGGCGGCATCCTCGGCATTGTCGGTGTCGAAAAGGGGGGGGAGGAGGAGCGGGAGGAGAAGAGTTGATTGTGAAGGCCTTACAGCCGGTGCCGCCGACCCTGTAACTGGCGAGGAGGACAGAGAGATGGAACAGGTGGACGGGGAGGGGGGGTCCTCTTGGTTTTTTGGGGGAGCCTCTTGGGTGTTGAAGTTCTTCTGGGTCCTCCTATAGGGGCCTCTTGGGGACCCCTAGGCCTCTTGGGAGGCCTCTTAGGGGAAGCGTTTCTTTGTGCTTTTGCTTCTTTTTCCTCCTCAGCAGAGGCGGCCATGCACACAAGAAGACGTCCGGCACCCGTATCCTCTCGTGCCGCCGCGGCTGGCCCAGAGAGAGTCTCGCGGTCGTGCGTGGGCTCCCGTCTCTGTCACGCACAGCTTCAGGGACCGTGGCTCCCTCAGACCGAGTCATCTGTTCGACGGCGTCGAACGTTCGGGGGGGGGGCCGGTTCAAACGCGCCGCGGAATATTCCCAAGGCAAGCGCCCGTGAAACGCGCTCCCTCTAAGAATGGGTAACCCTCCCGGGGGCATCCTTGCCTTGCATCCTGGTCTCTTCGGTCCGTCCTTCCCAGACCCCCTCGCGCTGTGAAACAATCACGACGGGAGGTTTTTCATTATTTTCTGCTTCCGGGGGCTCTTACCAGGCCCCGGGGCCATCAAAAAACGACTCAGGATGAAAAGCGGGTCCCGGGGAATGGGTCCGGTCTCTGGGGGTCGCGTCACGAACAAATCATGACGTCGGGGGTCTGGGATCCTTGCCTCCTCGGTCCGTCCTTCATCAAGGGCTCCCTCGAGGGCGCGAAGTTATTCGCGCTTCGCGCTTCGCGGTCCTCGTTCCTTCTCCCCCTCCTCCTCGTCCTCCTATTCTCCTTTTGGGAGGGCGGCGCGAGAGCGCGAAGTTATTCGCGCTTCGCGCAGCGCGAAGCGCGAAGTTGGGAGCCCTAGTTAATAACCGCTCTCGATGGCCAGCCCCTCCTCGAACTGCTTTGGCACGTCCGCCCGAGTGGCCTGCACCCTTACCGCGCATGCCACCGCGAAGAGCATGGCCGTAGCCGCGGCCTCGCGGGCCAAGCGCTCTGGGCCGCGACCCGGCGGATACGGGGCGCTCGTCCGCGGATGTTCCGCGCCGAGCGTATCCGTGCGAGGAGGCGGAGGAGGAGGAGGAGGAGGAGGAGGAGGAGGCGGAGGCGGAGGAGGAGGAGGAGGAGGAGGAGGAGGAGGAGGAGGAGGAGGAGGAGGAGGAGGAGGAGGAGCGGGAGCGCGCCCAGGACTCCAGTCCGCGAGGGCGCGGGTATGGATACGTGCGCCGCTTGTGAGAACGGCGCGGCTATTGCCGGGAAGACGACGGTGGGCAGCTCGACGGGGAGTCACACCACGACTCCCTCGTCCACGAACTGGGCGAGCACTGGACTGAGCACAACCCTACGAGGCGGCACCTCTGGAACAAGCAGCGCGACGTCGAGCAGGAACACGGCTGTGACTTCCACGCTCGATGCCGCCCCGATTTCGGGAGCAACCTACCGGTCGCGTGTAGAGCGAAAAAAACCACGCAACAAGATGATCCCAACCACCCATGCGACATCGACCACCCGGAACGAGCGGGCTGTCAGACCTCCAAACAGACGGGCTGGCTTCCCCCAAATTGGACGGCCTGGCATCTCCCAGACCGACGGGCGGGCATCGCGGCGTTGAGCAGCACGACGAGGACAGGCAGCACTTCGAGTTTCGATTTGAGTCGGGTGTGTTCCTCTATATGAGGAAAAATTCTAAATAGTAAATAGTCAAAACAATACTATTTGAACGATTTGAGTTCAATACTTGTAACTATGATTTTGGATGTGTTTGGGCAATTTTCGTTTTTCTTCCCAAATCCACCTGTAGGAGGACATGCTTGACATAAGTTTGATCACGACGTTGGTACGCACGACGGTTGAGGGCAGCATGACGTGGAGCTGCACGCCAGGAAGCAGCAGGACGGCTCGGACATCGCGAGAGAGACGAGCATGAGCTTTCGAGCAGCACGTCTTCGAGCAGAGGACTGGGCGCTTGCAGCACGACGATGACGCAGCACGACGGGGAGCAGCAGCGCAAATTTGACATCACCGGCGCGGCGAGTCGCGTGTCGGGCGCCGCATGTTGGCGCAGCGTGCCAGGAGCATTTGTGCGACCCCAGTGCCCGCGACGGGAACACAACGATGGGAACACCCCAGCACGACGTTCAGAATCGCGACGCGGCGCGGCAGCACGAACCTCGCTTTCACAACCTGGGACGAGTAGGCAGCCGGGGCCCACATTTCGAAGCAGCAGGGGGGATCTCAGGCCCATGACGGTGAGCAGACGCGCGATGCCGACAGCCACGCACGAGGCGAGCACAGGATCGAATGCCGCTCCTGCGAGCAGCAAGCTGGACAGCAGAGAAAGGCGTTGAGCAGCCCGACGGTTTCCGCTGGCACCGCAAGCATAACGACTACGACCGCCTCTACCACCACCGCTGATCGGCGCACTCGCACTACGACTGCCATTGCAACGGCCACTACCCCCACCGATACCTCCCAGCTTACTTGCACTCTCACGCCGACCTTCTTGGCAACGCGACCACACGGCCGCAGACATGAGAGCACGACTCCCGTACGGGCCGTTGTGCAGGCCCGTTTGTGGCGCCCTTCGGCCACCTTTTTGGTTGGGGGCAGCTGCAACTTTTTGCATCGACAACCTGTACGTCTGCCTTTACTTGTACGTCTAATCATGCCGCCCTTTCCTCTCCCCCTCCTGCGCCTTCCTCCGCGTGTCCTCCTCACTCTCCTTGCTGCGTAGCGAATGTGCCGAGCTTGCGTGGTGAGTCGTGGGGCTTTGTGCTGCATTGTTGTATTCAGCGCGGTCGTGAAAATGGTAGACGATACAAAGCGGGGCCCCAGTGGGGCATTGTCGCGTCTGCCCTCCGCTTTTCGTCTCCCCTCTCTTTTCTTCTCTCTGCCTCTTCCGCCGCCTCCTCCTCCCTTTTTTCTGTGCCTATAGGTCGCGATAAGCTGTGGACCGACTATCGACCACGCGGCCGGGAAAGCAGGTGTTCGCATTCAGGGGCACGATTTGGTGACATCTCTACCACGTTATCTTCGCCCTCCTTCGTTTGTTAGCTTGCACTTCCTGCAAACCAGCCTCCATCGATTCCGTGACACAGACGGCAGTGTTGACGTCTAGTCGGCCAGGGCAAATATTCCAGGGCTAGAATTTCAGTACCGCTTGCTGGGGACAGTTCGGACATGCAACAGTTGGTGCTTTGGTGGAGGAAAAGCTAGTATCCCAAGTCTGGCAAACATGATAATTTCAGCAGATGGAGAGCCTCATCCCCAAATGCGGTTCTCGCTGCAGCGCCGCGCACATTCGTCTTACCAGACTGCAGCAGTTACACGAATGGAGGCGGGGCCGCCTCTTTCAATTGTGTGGTTTTCGCCTCAGCGCCGCGCGCACCAGTGTCCAAAGAGAATACAAATTGCACCGATGGAGCCTGAGCCTTTTTCAAGTTGGGGGCCATCGTTGTAGCGCCGCGGACGTTCGTCCCAAAAGTTTGCAATCATTTCACGGGCGGGGGCTGGTTCGTTCACATTGGGGCTCACGTCGAAGACGTTCTTCATAACTTTTTTCCAACTCGTCGAACGATGTGCAACAGATGCACGGGTGCAGGCCGACTCGTCTTCAGAATGGGTGGCTTCTCTTGGGGCGTCATACTGTCTGACCAGAGGTGCAAGACATGCACAACATGCACTCTATGGACGGCGGGCCCTCCCTCAAAGCGGGGTCGTCTTCTGTGTTTTTCATTGGTTGCTTGAAGCCCGCATGTTTGCATTCCTTGTCGCTGGAAGGAAGGGATGGCGGTTTCTGTCAAAGCGAGGCTTCTGCCCGACGGGCATGCCCATGGGGTGCTAGTTCAAGGGTGGCGCTTCGCGCAGTGAGGGGCTCGTGAGGAGAGCACTTTGGACGGGAGAGTGCATTGCAGCATCGCTGATACATCCCCAGAGATCCGACGCTCCAACAAAATTCGGGGCGGCGGGATTTTGCTAGTTTTTCTCTGGGGGCCCTCGCTGGGACTCGGGAGCGTCAAAAAACGATTCAGGACGAAGAACTGGCCCCAGGGAAGTGGTCCAGACCTCGGGGGCCCACGCATTTTGAAAAAAATGGAGCGCCCAGATGTCTGGGTCTCGAGATTAAGCTGGCCTTCCTCGTCCACTCCTCCTCCTCCTCGTCCTCCTCTGTCTCCTCCTTCCCCTCCTCCTCCTCTTCCTCCTCTTCCTCCTCCTCCTCCTCCTCCTCAACTGTTCCTCCTCCTCCTCCGCCTACTCCTCCTCCTCCTCCCTCATTCAACCTCTCGTCCGTCGGCATCGAATGTACGCTCCTACACATCCTTTCCAGGATGCAACTCCTGGTAGGTTTAATCGGGCATCGGCGCTGGGAGTCGTTCCGTGGAGTCCGGCTTAAATTCCGCTCAATCTTGCATCATCCCAAGCTGAGTCCGGCCTGATGCTCAAGCGCGCAAAGCGAACCTTCATCTTTCCGACGAGGACCTCCCATGGGGGTGCCTGCGAACCCTCTTCCGACGGCGTGGGTGAAACGTGTTCTGCAGCCTTCTCGCATTCTTCCCTTCCTAATGGCCTCGTCCTCGCCGTCCGCGTCGCTGCTGGCAGGCGCCGTGGACAAGCTCGCACCCAGGAAGGTCGCGGTCTCTCCGCAGCCGCTGTCGCCGGGCGGCCTCGGCTGCGGCGGCCCACTGGCGGCGGAGGAGCCTCTGGGCCTGGGCCGCGGAAGCTGCGTCCTCCTGGCGTGTGGCATAGTACGACGCAGTGAGCTCGTGGTCTAACTTAGGTCCACGGTTCTTGGGGTGTGGTCTCTTCTGGCACACCTGCAGGCAAGCCCCCTGTGCCTCATGCCTGTGGCCCTCCCAAATGAGGTCCCCTCCCAAAGGGTCCAAGGGCCCTTGTATTGCTGCTCCTCCTCGTCCTCCTCGTCGTCCTCCTCCTCCTCCTCCTCCTCCTTCTCCTCCTCCTCCTCCTCCTCCTCCTCCTCCTCCTCCTCCTCCTCCTCCTCCCTCTCCTCTCATTATCCCCACCTCTCCGCGTTGCATCAACGTCTCGGCTGTACGTTCTGGGTCAGTTTCCGCCTCCTGGGCCCCCCGCGCCATGCCCCCGAACCGTCGGTAAGACAGCACGGGACAGACCAGCGGCCTCGGGGAAAGGGGCAGGACTTCCAGGAACCCCGTATGGAACAGCACAGGGCATTCGATGTCTGGCCTCTTCGTCTTCTTCCCATTTTCTCCTCCGATTCCTTTTCCTCCAACTTGCTCCCCCCCCATCCCACTCCTCGTCGTCTTCGTACCCCTTCTAAACTTATGTTCCTCATCCTCTTTTTCCCAGTCATCCCCTGTCTCGTATGCCTACAACTCTGCCTCGTCGCTAACCCGAGCAGCGCCGAGGAGGAGGATGATGATGATGAGGAGGAGGAGGTGGAGGACAGGGAGGACAGGAAGGAGGGTCTTCAAGAGGACGATGGGGATGGGGGAAAGGCGGATGGAAGGCTGAGGATTACCAGCTTCACGGGGCCATCTCAACCGTGCGATCGGACAGCTCTGGGTGCAGACCCTTTCTTTGAAGTTACAGCTCTGATTCGTCGCGTCCTGTTTGCACTCCACAGGTGTTCTTCGAATGTAGACCTCCATGGCATACGGATGGCACGCCAGACACGGATGTACCATCCGAAACCAGAAGAGAGGCTGCGTCCATCACACCTGGAGATCGTAGAGCACTCACGGTCGGCAGGACACGAGCGATTCCCCCCCGCCCGAACGAAAGCAACAGGAGGGATCATCCAACACGGTAAACACATAGTCGGGGGACTATCTTTGAATGTTTTGACTATTTGCGGATATGTTTGGGAGGGGGAGGAGGAGGAGGAGGAGGAGGAGGAGGAGGAGGAGGAGGAGGAGGAGGAGGAGGAGGAGGAGGAGGAGTTGGAGGAGGAGGAGGAGTTGGAGGAGGAGGACATGCCCGACCCGAGCGCCGTCCGAGACACGCCTGGCCTCCAACGCCCGGGTGGGGCCCGCGTCGTGGGCAGGCTGCCCGCCGGCAGCCCTCAGATATCCCTGCGCGGGGGGCGGCCCCCGTGGCACGTCAGCTGCCAGGTCCGCACGCCGGGCCGCTGCGGAAGCAAGCCCACGGCAAGACTCAGAGCGTGCATTACCTTCCCCGCTTTCGCTTCAAGGAAAACCCAAGTCATACCACGCGCCTCCTCGTCAAGCGACCTGACCAGTACAGGCCGTAGTTTGGCATCGCTTGGTACCTCTTCGAAGCGAGGGTAGTCAAAAGCGAGGTAGGTTTGTTTTCCCCCTAAAGACGGCACGCAGCCTTCGCACTTGAGGAGCCGCCCAGATTTAGGTCGGCGTTTCCCCAACGTACTTGTGCCATATGTGCGTCGCCCCCCCAGGGACGACGCGCGCACCAAGAGATCTTCTAGTACATGCATCGTAGCGGGCGCTTTCTGGCCGCACCGCTCGCGAAACGAGATACTACAAGATGGGTATACTATATGTTCGAGTCGGACGCGCGCCTCCAATGAGTTCATATAGTATTCGTATGTCTCTGTGCGTCCCATTCGATTGGGCATGTCCCCATACAGGCGGATGTTGGGCGAAAAATTAATACTCAAAACAGAATCCCCAAATGGCAAACAAGTGTGCCAAACATCGTCCCGACATTTGTTTGCGTGTTTTTGAATATTCCTCCTGAGTATTCGTCCTGTAGAGGGAAAAGCCCGACTGAAGCCCAGACGTGGCGGACTTTCGGACTCGATGCAGAGGGACATGCCGGACTAAAGCCGATGGCGCGGCTCCCGGAACTTGGCCTGCGACGCAGAGGGACGGGGAGCACCACCGGTCTTGGCGGCCAGAGCGGCAGTCATCGAAACATGCATGAAGTATGGGCAATCTGATTCGAATTCCCAAACTGACTCAAGATGTGTTGTTCTTCAAAGTTGTTCCAAACTTGGTTCAACCTTCCCAATCTGGGCGTGCATTAATCAAACTTCCAAACGGGGGGGTGCCTTTCAAGTTGTTCAACTTGTTCAAGCTTCCGAACCTGGGCATACTTGTCAATTCTTACACTTCTAGATCCGGGCGTAATTTCCCAAACTGTCCAAAAGTTTTATAGATGTTCGAAATTCTCAACCCTGGGCGCACTTCCTTTTTGTTCTTACACATGTCCAGGCATGTCGAAAACGTCCAAATCCGGGCGAACTTGTCTCAAACATTTCTCAACATTTTCGAATGTCAAGATCCGGGCGTGTTTCCTCATCATGATAATTCCCCAATAAGAGGTTGCACTGAATGGGCCCTGGCGGAAGTTGAAAGATTTGGCGAAAGTTGCCCGCCGATTTTGGTAGCAGGCTGGGTTCCTGGGTCCTTGGTTCCGAGTTCCCGGGTTCCCAGTTACTGGTTCCGTGCCGATCTCGGTGGGTTCTGCGATCCCAGGCTCCCAGGTTCCCGGTCGATCTTCACTCCATTGATTGGGTTTTTTTCTCGGGGGTAATGAACAAGTATGTTGTTCAATGGTTGCTCAAATTTATTATTTCACATGTTTCCAATATTTAAATGCGGGCGTCAGTCTCAGTGTTCCAAATTCTGTCGAACTCCCAAATCCAGCCGTATGTTTTCAAACTCTCGAGCCCGGGAAACTCCGCACTCATATTTCGACAGACTCGCGACATCACACTTTAAGTTCATTCTTTGAACATCTGAAAATACGTTTGGTTTGAACAGCTTGCCTGCTCCGGGGCGACATCATGCCAGATGTGGCGCGAGCGCACCTGCACTTGGCGCCCCACGCCCTCTCCCCCCGCGCGCCCTGTCTCCCCACCCTTCCTCCCCCTCGTCTCGTCTTTGTCCTCCTCCTCCTCCTCCTCGTCGTCGTCGTCCTCCTCCTCCTCCTCTTCCTCCTCCTCTTCCTCCTCCTCCTCCTCCCATCGCTTCGTTCCGTCCAAGGATACATCGTTTCGCCCTTTTTACCCACCCTTTTCCTCCTCGTCTCGTCTTTGTCCTCCTCCTCCTCCTCCTCCTCCTCCTCCTCCTCCTCCTCCCATCGCTTCGTTCCGTCCGAGGATACATCGTTTCGCCCGTTTTCCCCACCCTTCCTCCCCCTCGTCTCGTCTTTGTCCTCCTCCTCCTCCTCCTCCTCCTCCTCCTCCCATCGCCTCGTTCCGTCCGAGGATACCTCTTTCCCAGAACTTCCCACAGCGCTCTCGGCACTCAGCGGGACGCCTGGAGAAGGCCGCGGCGCCCGAGGCATCATCCAGAGACGCCAGGTCGCGGAGGTTTTCGGTGTATCCTCGCCCGGTGCTATCCCCGTCCTAGCTTCGCCTTGTCACCCCCCCCTTGCGTTCCACGCCCCCCGCCCCCTTTGCTCTTTCAGGAGGCGCTGTACGGGCGGCCGCCGCCGAGAATGGCCGCGTGGGCCCCGCCAGGCCTCGGGAGCTGAGACACCGCCGCGCGGCCGCCTTTATAAAGAATCGGTAGGGGGGGTGGGCACAGGGTGGGGGGGGAATAGGCAGAGCAGGAGGAAGAGGAGGAGGAGGCGGAGGAGGAGGAGGAGGAGGAAGAGGAGGAAGAGGAGAAGGGAGGAGGGAGGAGGGAGGAGGCAAGAGGAGGAGGAGGAGGGGGAGGAGGTGGCGGAGGAGGAGGGGAGGAGGAAGAGGAGGAGGAGGGGAGGAGGGAGGAGGAGAAAGAGGAGGAGGAGGAGGAGGAGGAGGAGGAGGAGGAGGAGGGCGGAGGAGGAGGAGGAGGAGGAGGAGGAGGAGGAGGAGGAGGAGGAGGAGGAGGAGCAGGAGGAGGAGGAGGGAGGAGGAGGAGGAGGAGGAGGAGGAGGAGGAGGAGGACGAGGAGGAGGGTGGAGGAGGAGGAGGAGGAGGAGGAGGAGGAGGAGTGGAGTGGAGTGGACGCCATCACGAGGTGATATCCGAAAATCACTGAGCACCCGAGGCCCTCCCTGCCGGTTGAGCCCGGGTGAGCGCCTTAGGCCAAAGACCACGCTCCAACCGTCGGAGATATTCTCTTCTGGTGGCGTTTACTCGCCCAGTGCAAAGACGCTGTCAAATCTTTACAAAGGAGCTCATTACAAAAGGAGTCGCACGATGTACAATGCCAAACCTTCAAGTCAACATGATAGGCCATCTTGTGTTGGGGCCCCACCCAGCCTTCACAAAGATGCAAGGATTGACCAGCAGGCAGATGCAAGGCACCTTGGCTTCCAGGGATGAGATCGAAGCACGGGGTCGATCGCCACTCCGTGGCGGTGTCGATCGTGGCAGACCCTTGACATCTAAGGCAACAGCGGCCGTTCGGCCTGGGGCGATGGGAGGAATGGAACATGGACAATGCAGCAGGAGAGGGAGGAGGAGGGAGCGGAGGAGGCATCGGCGGCTCCAGTGAGATCCCGTCCTGCCGCGTCCGCCACCCCGAGGTCGAGGTCGCGCTGCCTTTGGCTCTGAATGGAAAACCTCGAGGGCGAGCCGCAGAAGACGACGTCTGACGAGAAGGGCATCCCTTTCTCTCTGCCACACGCGAGCACGATGAGAGAGATCCAACCGACAACGTTCCGCTGAAACACCCGCGAGCTCATCGGCAACAACGTTGCCGACTATCAAGAACCTCGGAACGTTCTTCTGAACGATCTGGCCAGGGGAGAGATGCGAGTCGACTTTGAGAAAGGAGACCAGTGACGTGTCACGGCCCGTGTTCAAAACGACGGTGCGAATAGCATCCCGAGTGCCCAGATTCTCCCCAGAAGGCCGCGCAGCCCGCCATACCACCCATCACAAACTCCAGAATTGTCCGCGGCCAAGATCAAGGGACCTCAGGAGTGCGGAAGGGCCAGCAAGGGCCAGTGAAGTTCGCTTCGGGAACCGTTTGTTTCCGACCAGGGAGAGGACCTAGAACACCAGCCTGAACGATGGGTGGGCCGTACGAGTCCATAGTTACTGCAGCAACTCCTACACGTCTGAAAGCTGGCTCCCGTGCATCAGATCCCCCTGACGAGTCAGCTCGTTAACGCCAATAACTGACCACGCTGATTCAGAACTAGCTGGCGGCACTGCTCTTCAAACACGAGGAATGAGCCCACGAAACCAGACACATGCTTCACTGCCCCCACAAGAGAGAGCACGAGGAACAAGATGCTCTGATTGTTTGAAGGCTTTGTGTCCGTTGCTCCTACAACTGCAGACCCAAATGCGATGCATCGGGGTTTCGGGCTGCTGACGACAACGAGGGCACTGCGAGCTGACATGCTGGCGAGTTTGGTCGACGACGCGCTGCCTAGGCCAGAACCCGCCAGTAGCCACATCAATCAATGTTTCACCAAGACGATGCCCGTGCTGACTTTGCCGTAGTTTCCGAATACACCGGCGATACCTGACATTGTCGATCCCGTTGGCGGACCCTTCGGCACAGTAATGTCGAGCAGCGCGTGCCCATGCTAGATCTTGAAAGGATTGTTGAAACTCGTCAAGCACTTCGGCGGTATCTTGAAATCCTGTGAGCCCGCTGTCGGGAAAGAGCCAGTGAGCACCGTCGTCACCAGGAGTAGTCCACTCCGTCGGAGATGTCGGTGTCCACCCAACTTCTAACATATATCCGATAAGAGCGCCCATGGGACCCCGAACATGACGAGAGGACTGGGATGGTAAAATATTTGAAGAGTGTGAACGGCTCGGGGCCAAGCTTGTCGGACCATGGGACGAAGATGAGGAAACCCGAACCACGTGTCAAGCCAGAGCTTCATGGTGTCCCTGGGAAACGTCACGAATGGGTCGGCCCCAGGAGTTCTCAAGTCCAAGAGTGTAGTAAGGCAGCGACATTTCTGCTGGGAGCCCATGAAAGCCCCTAACCTTCTGCGAAAGTCGAGGCGATGGGAGCCAAAGGAACCCTGAACTTGATGCCCGTATGAGCCTGCCGTCTGTGACCCTGCGCGTTCCAATCGGCCCGTGAGGGGGAGGAGGAGGAGGAGGAGGAGGAGGAGGAGGAGGAGGAGGAGGAGGAGGAGGAGGAGGAGGAGGAGGAGGAGGAGGAGGAGGAGGAAGAGGAGAGGAAGAAGGCGGAGGAGGCGGAGGAGGCGGAGGAGGCGGAGGAGGCGGCGGAGGGGGAGGAGGAGGAGGAGGAGGAGGAGGAGGAGGAGGAGGAGGAGGAGGAGGAGGAGGAGGGAGGAGTAGGAGGAGGAATAGGAGGAGGAGGCGGAGGAGGCGGAGGAGGCGGAGGAGGCGGGAGGAGGCGGAGGAGGGGGAGGAGGAGGAGAGGAGGAGGAGGAGGAGGAGGAGGAGGAGGAGGAGGCGGAGGAGGAGGAGGCGGAGGAGGAGGGAGAGGGAAAAGGCGGAGGAGGAGGAGGGCAAGGGGAAGAGGAGGGAGAGGAGGAGGAGGAGGAGGGAGGAGGAGGAGGAAGGAGGAGGAGGAGAGAGGAGGAGAGAGGAGCTGGAGGAGGAGAAGGGAGGAGGCGGAGGAGGAGGCAAGGGGAAGAGGAGGAAGAGCAGGAGGAAGAGGAGGAGGAGGAGGAGGAGGAGGAGGAGGAGGAGGAGGAGGAGGAGGAGAGGAGCAGCAGGGGAGGAGAAGGAGGAGGAGGAGGAGGAGGAGGGGGAGGAGGAGAAGGAGGAGGGGGGGGGAGGGGGGGAGGGAGAGGAGGAGGAGGAGGAGGAGAAGGAGGAGGAGAAGAAGGATCGAGGAGGAGCCCGCCTGGAGACGCTGGAAACGCCGTCGGCGCCCAGGCCCCCCTCGAGGGGCCTCCGAGCCGGCGCTGGCGGCGCCGCGGGGGCTGTCTGGCACCTGCGGCGGACGAGCACGGCATGACGGGAAGCGATGGTGTATCCAGATTCCTCGTTTTCGGTGGCCTTCCCCTTCTCCCACATCATGTTCCAGCGTGCCCCATGGAATCGAAACAGAAAAAATTGCATAAACATAAACTTGTGGCGCTCCGCGCGGATTTCTTGGATCTGCGCTGGAATCCCCTCCCCGGCGCGCGGAGCGCGCCAGGGGCGGCGCAAGAGGCGCCGCCAGGGGGCCCAGCGCGGATCCAAGAAATCCGCGCCGCGCCGTTCTCGTGCACGGCCCCGGGGCCCCCGCAGGGATTTCCCAGAGACCGCAAACTCTGCCAGCCGCTTCCCATGGTCTTTTTTTTTCTTCACGCCGCGGGCGTGCTCCAGGAGAGGGCGGAAGAGCAGGATCGACGAGGAGGGGGACGTCTGGCGCATTCCGTGGCTCCCCTTGTTCACTGCGAGGTGGGCGTTTTTTGTTCCTTGTTTTGCCGATCGGCGCGGGCCCTCGCAGCCCCCCCCCCTCCCCCCCCCAGTGGAGTAAGTAGATCTTGGCTGCTTTGTGGCGCCTGTCTCGAGCAGGTGGGGTCTCTCCCCCATGATGGAGGCACTGCTGCAAACGCTCGCGCTAAGCAGAGGTCCGGAGCCAGACCCCCCCCCCTCCCCCTCCCCCCCTTTCCGCCCAATGTCGAAACGCCGAATCAAAAAACGCCCACCATGTTAACTGCGAGAGCCAGGGGAGAAGTTTTTTCCCCGCACTGCGCCTCGGGCTGGACTTTCAGGCAGTGTGTCGGGCAATGCCTGGATCTTGGACACGAAAGCTCCGATCCAGGCCCGACCACGTCGGCTGCTCTCACCCTTCCCCCCTCCCCCGCTGCTGCCCTCCCTCCCCTCCCGCCTCTTCCCTTCGGCGCTGGGCGCTCCCGCCCCAACTCGAGGAGCCACAGCGCGGCCCTGGACATGACCGCGTCGTGCGAGAGAGAAAAAAAAGCACCACGGAAGGCTTCTTGGCCGAAGGATTGCAAAAAAACGAAGGATTGCAACGAAGGATTGCAAAAAAACGAAGGATTGCAACGAAGGGTTTTTTTGCAATCCTTGGCCGTGTTTGGGGCTTCGGGAGCCCCCGGCAGCCCTGGGGACCGTCTGCGAGGCGACCCGGGGTGCAAAGCCGGCCCTGGGGAACGGGTCGGGGCTCCCACGGGCCCCGCAGAATTCCAGGCTCAAGGCGTCGGATGTCTGGGGCGGCGGGGCCAAGTTTCGGAGCTTCGCGCGGGTTGGGTGAATCGGAGCTTGGGCCCCTCGCCAGGAGATCTTGGCGTCGCATTTTTCCGCGCCGGGCGATTTCGCCTGATATATATATATATATATATACACATATGTATACATACATATATATATATATATATATATATATGTGGGGGTCCATGGACCATCGCATATCGATCCGGCTCGAAACATGAAGCAGGCAGATCGGATCTCACCACCCACCCAACCACCCCAACCCAACCCGAAGGCCTCAATGTGTCCTCCGTTCCCAGTAGGGTGGGCGTCGGGAACATTGAAGAAGCACATGTGGAACCCGTCCCCCTCCTAGCCCGACATTTGTGTCTTCGGGTTGGGTTGGGGTGGTCTGGTGGGTAGTCAAAAGATAGCGCGGACAGATCGGATCTGATATTCTTCT